TGTACAGGGAATGATTTTTCTGGTTACAGCATTTTTCACTGAAACCACTTTTCCCAGGTTTCACTCATATCTGCCCTTATGCTCCATTCAAACACATTGCATCAAATCCGCACTGCACATCATCTTCAGTTTTTTACAGAAAGAACTCATTGTCCAATCTCTGGTTCATGGACTCTCTTGATTTTAATTCAAAGGGATTCTTGCAACTTTCCTGGGAATAAGGTATTGACTGTGGCTCCACTATGATGATTTTAGGGTATTTGTGATAGGCTTCTAGATTACTGGAGACGCTGTAGGTCAGCGGGCCCCGCACGTTTTGGCACCAGGGACCAGCTTCGTGGAAGACAAGTTTTCCACAGACCACAGATAGGGGGATGGTTTTGGGATGAAACTCTTCTACCTCAGATCATCAGGCACACAACCTAGATCCCTCATATACACAGGTTCACAATAGGGTTTGCTCCTATGAGAATCTAATGCTGCTGCTGATCTGACACAATAGGGTTTGCTCCTATGAGAATCTAATGCTGCTGCTGCTGATCTGACTTGCCCACACACTCACCTTCTGCTGTGTGGCCTGGTTCCTAACAGGCCATGGATCAGTACCAGCCCGCAGATTAGGGACCCCTGATGTAAGCTGAAGCAAAACCAAAGTTGTGATGGTCAAGGCAGCACTTTTCCTAACCAAATGAGCTGCTTCTACCAACATATTGAGACTACAGCCTGTGAGGGTCAAGAGGGAAGTCAGAGTAGGTGTGTGTGTGGTACAGCTATGTGCTACACATTATTTGTGTGGGTGTGTTATGCTTATGTGCTGTGTGGTACTGCTGTGTGGGGAATACACATATATTCTTGAGGTGTGAGTGTTCACATGTTTTGAGGGCCTGTGTTTGCCAAACCTGTGTGCTATGTGGGGTTGGATGTGGGAATGTGTATTGTGCATTGTGTCACATAGATGTGTGGATGTGTGCATGCATATTACGGAGGTGTGTATTTGCAGTGTCTGTATGTGTGTGAGTGTATACTTGCACATGCACATGTGTTACATGACACAGATGTGTTATATGGTAGTGACAGGAGATACCTGTGATAATGAGTCCTAGAGAAGGTTGCAGTTGATTTCGAAGCTATGCCAGAATTAGTCATATAGGAGAACCCACACCTCCTTATACATTTCTAAATCTCAGGCATCTCCATTCATTCCCAATAATAATGCAATGTTTACATTACACTTGGCTATCTAGACTGTAGGAGACTATCTGCAATTTAATTTTTAGTTGGCTTCAATTCAGCTGGTACTTCTGCTGTACCAAATGATTAGAAGTCATTTTTTTAGCATTATAAATTTTATGGTTTTTTTTGAGACAGGGTCTCACTCTGTCGCCAAGGCTGGAGTGCAATGGCACAATCGTGGTTCACAACAGCTCGAACTCTTGGGCTCAAGTGATCCTTCTGTCTCAGCCTTCTGAGTAGCTAAGACTACAGGTGTATGCCACCATGCCCAGTTAATTTTTTTTTGTAGAGATGGGGTCTTGCTATGTTGCTTGGGTTGGTATTAAACTCCTGGCCTCAAGCGATCCTCCTCCCTCAGCCTCCCAAAGCACTGAGATTGCAGATGTGAGCCACCACACCCAGATTTACTTTTTTAAATTAATTATTTCCAAGAATTTGCTTACAGTTTGAAGGGAAAATTATCCTGAAACATAATACTTAATAGAATAAGAGGGAGGTATCAGATAAAGAAAACAGATGTCAATGAAGCCTAGTGTTGATATTTTAGCTATTCTCACATTTGGTAAGAAAAATATCGTTTAGCACCCCAGGCATCACTAGTATATTTCCACCAGGAATCCAGCTTCTTTTGCTTGTCAACTCACTTACTACACTGGCTGTTGCTCCTGAGCAGGTCTAGGTTAACAAGAACCATCTAAAAGGAGGGGAATCCCATTCCTGTCAGAGTATTTACAGATTCCATCTCTAGGCATGTAGAGATTTCCAACTCCTCAGGACTGTACTGCCCCCCTGAAGCCTCCCTAGCACCAGAAACTGGCCACTTGCTACCTCCTTCATGGCTAGCCCCTGCCCCGCTTCCTTCCATTCCCAGTGCTGCATACAGGCAGAGCGTTGCTGAGGTGGAAGTCAGTTCTGTTCCTCCCTGCTCTAAGCTCTCTGAGGCTTGCATCCCTCTGGGCCCCGCAGTGGCTGTGCAGGCTCGCCATGGTCTGGCTGCCCTCTCTCCTCTCTGAACACAGCTGCCGCTTTCCTTTTCCCCCCTTCACTCCTGGCACATGGGTCTCCTTGTTCTTCCTCCAACATAGACATGTACGCTCCCCAGTAAGGGGCCCTTTGCACTGGCCACTCCCTACCTGAAACGCTGTTCTGGTAGATGTCACAATGAACTCCCTCACTTCTTCAGTCTTTGCTGAACACCACCTTCCTGATGAGGCTCTCTGTGACCACTCTATTGACAGTTGCAACTTGCCCTGCACCATGGCTCTCTGGAGTCCTCTTCCCTACTCTGCCTCTTTCCCATACCCCTTATCAGATTTACCATGCTGTATGTTAGTCATTTATTATGTTTCTTGTTCACTGTCTCTCAGCACACCTGAAGTGTCTGTAAAGGTCAGTTGTGGTTAGCATTATCTACCTGCCTATAAATGGAGGGAATCCTGGCCACTGCCATGACCTTTGCTTCCTGTTTTTCCAAAGAAGTTCCATTTCTGCCTCCTGCCTTTGGGGCGAGGCTTGGGCTCAGCTTCAAGTGCTATCTAGGAAATGACTTAGCTGGAATGTACTGATGTAAACCTGTCAATCTGTGAAGAGAGATGCCAGCCAGGAAGCAAGATGGCTGAAACACATCACCTCTCTCAGAGATCAAAGGAAGCCTTGGGAAGATTGCCCTCTGGTTCAGGGGTCTTCTAACAGCTTCAGGGACTAAAGGGAAAGTGAGTTATTTCTTTAGCAGCCATAGATTTTACCACTTTAATATACCCCTCCCTCCAGATGGTCTCTAGGTATCAGACCAAATGGTGAGGCAGCCCATCCAACTTGACCTCTTCCTTATGTCTGCTACATGCACTGACCGAGGCCCAGCTCTGTGGTTGCAGGAGTAGCCGAGAGATCCATTTCCACAATATTTCCAGCTGATAGCAGTGTGTTTGCTTTTTGGCTTAAAACAATACAAACTTGTTATCTTGCTGCTCTTCCACCAAAGTCCACTTGGGTCTCACTGGGCTAAAGTCAAGGTGCGGGCAGGGCTGCATTTCTTTCAGAGGCTCTAGTGGAGAATTGATTTCCTCACCTTTTTCATCTTCTCTAGTCTGCCTGCATTTCTCACCTCCTGGGCCCTCTCTCCATCTTCAAGGCCAACAATTTCTAATCCTTCCAACCATTCCTCTGAGGTCACATCCCCCACTGACGACAGCCAGGAAAGGGTCTCTGCTTTCAAGGAACTGGGTAATTAGATAGGGCCCCCTGGACAATCTAAGATGGTCTCCCTATCTCAGGGAACTTAATCATATCCTCAAAATTGCTTTTGCTATGTAAGGTAACATATTTACAAGTTCCAGGGACTAGAACAGGGGTCTTTTTGGGAACCATTATTCTGCCTGTCACAACCATCAAGATAAAATGGTCTTTTGGCCATAAAGTCATCTCTGTGATGGAAGACCATCCCCCCCAATTTCAACTCCCATTATCTTCAAATGCTTGAATACATGCTGGCTGCTTTTGTTACTCTTTGATAGGTTTTTAAAAGATATCATGAAATGATTTTGTCCTCCTATCCTGACGCCCTGGGGAGCTTCTACTAAGGGCAATGTGACCTCTGTCCTTTCTTTAGTGTTGCTGGAGTTCATAAAGGGCTTTGCTTTTTTTTTTTTTGAGACGGAATTTTGCTCTGTCACCCAGGCTGGAGTGCAGTGGCATGATCTCAGCTCACTGCAACCTCCGTCTCCTGGGTTCAAATGATTCTCCTGCCTCAGCCTCCTGAGTAGCGGGGATTACAGGTATGTGCTACCATGTCCGGCTTATTTTTATAATTTTCATAGACAGAGTTTCACCATATTGGCCAGGCTGGTCTCAAACTCCTGAACCCAAGTGATCCACTGACCTTGGCCTCCCAAAGTGCTGGGATTAGCGGTGTGAGCCACCGCGCCCAGCCTGTGAAGGGCCTTTCTTAAATGCAGAGATGAAAGGCTTCAGCCAAGCCCAGGTAGCCAGGGAGGGTTACATGTGAATCAGGAACAGCAAAGGGGTTTGAGGCATGGGGGTTTGGTCAGCTCCAGGACTTACCTGGAATCAGTACCTTGCAGGTGGACCACCTAGAAAAGGCAAGTCTAGGTGAGGAAGAAGCAAATTCTGCCCCCTTTTGTCCACTTATAGGGGAAGGGAGGCTGGTAAGAGTTGACTGGGAAGGTGAGTAATTTTTAAAGGCTTTCTCCTGGGCTAGGTCTGAGGAAAATTGTACAAGGACTGAAGAAGAGAATTTGCCCTTCAGGTACCCAAATGGCACAGAAATATAAAATATTTTATTTGCTACTTTGGATCAGAGCAGATGCTGGATAAAGATGTGCAGGATGGTGGATGCGGAAGAGGCCAGAAGAAGTGCGGGGTGGATGGCAATCCCTGGACAGCAGTGGGAGGCAGGGCAGGGCATTAGCAGAGCTTGAGGGGAGCTCTTGGCAAAGAGTGGAATCTACGGAGAATGGAAAGTTCCAGGAGGAGTTCTGGAAGCCCCATTCCTCTCCTCTTGGAACTTTAGACAATTAAACCTACTAGAATTCTGAGGAGAACTTGTTTCTCCTCTCTTTCTTGAAGGAGGCCCTTTCTCAAAGGGCAGTTTCAGTTGTGAGTTGCAAAGTAACACACCAGCTCTCTAGGAAACTCATCCATCAGAAACTCAGACAACTGATACCTGCATTTTATGCACTGCACTTCTTGCCCCTTTAACCATAGGACAACCCCTCACTAGAATGTACTTTTAATTTCATCACAACTAGGGCAGGCTGAGGTCTTACTTTGAAGCAACATTTTAGAAAGCAAGAAGAGGGATTGTGGCCATGCTCAGAAGGTCAGCGGGGAGCCCGACGGCAAGGATGATTCAACTTTTACCACCAGAACGTAAACGCCAAGGGTAGCCGAGGCTGGGACTTTGGAGTCAGTGCAAACATCCCTCTACTTCCCAGGATACCTGGAGGGTTTCCTGTCCTCAGCACAGTACAGTCATTCTCGCTTACAATCATGGCCCCAACTCATCAGGAAAAGGTGAATTTGATCATTTAGTGGGAGGGTGGGAAGGATGTCATGTGTTTCCAAACTTTCCATCAAATACGGAAGCTGCTGAGAAACTCAGCTACCCAGAATGATACGCTGTCTGAGAGCACGCCAAGGCCAAAGCTTTTCTGAACTGTGGGAAGTGGAAGTGAGCAGAGGAATTCACGCGAGTGTGGCTGTTGTAGGCAGCAGCATCTTATGACCCCTGTATGACCCTCCAAGGTAGAGTTGAAGACATTCACAAACTGCAGAAGTTGTGCCATGTATGGGAGGCTAAAAAACTGGGAGTTAACCTTGACTCCGCCTTCTTGCCTCATCCCATTTTTCTTATTTCATCTTGTCTCTTCCCATCTCATTCACTCATTCATCAGGTGCTGGGTGCCTCCTGTGTGCCAGCTACTCCTCTAACACTGCAGTTATATCTAAAAATAGCAAAAATCCCTCCTTTGACAGGAACTTTGGCTTTCACTATTGGTGAGGTGGTGAGCCTTCAGAAATTACTGAAAGAGAAAGGATGGACTAAATGTTAACAAGATCACTCTGGCTTCTGTGCTGAGGAGGAAAGACGACTTAGCAGACTTATGACAATCTAGGCAAATCATGAGGCCTCAAGGGCTTAGATAAGCTGATAGCAGTCAGGGTGGGGACTTTTTTAATTAATTTCATTTAATTTTATATCTATTTTATTTATATACATATTTTTATTTATTTATATCATCTATATAAATATACATATTTATTTTAATATTTTGAACTTAAGTTTCATTTTAGTAACACATTTCACACTAGGTCTTATTATTTGTAAATTTTTTAGAATATAATAAACATAGTTTTTTTCAACTTATATATTAGATTCAGGGGGTACATGTGGAGATATGTTATTTGGGTACATTTCATGATGCTGTATTTGGAGTGTGAATGATCCTGTCACCTAGGTACTGAGCATAGTACTCAATAGTTAGGTTTTTATTTTTTTAAATATATATATTTTATTGCATTTTAGGTCCTGGGGTACACATAAAGAATATGAAGAACTGTTGCATAGGTACATACATGACAATGTGGTTTCCTGCCTCCATTCCCGTCACCTGTATCTGGCATTTCTCCCCATGTTATCTCTCCCCGATTCCCTACCCGCTGCTGTCCCTCCCCTAGTCCAACCCCAACAGACCCCAGTGTGTGATGCTCCCCTCCCTGTGTCCATGTGTTCTCATTGTTCAACACCCGCCTATGAGTGAGAACATGCGGTGTGTGATTTTCTGTTCTTGTGTCAGTTTGTTGAGAATGATGGTTTCCAGATTCATACATGTCCCTACAAAAGACACAAACTCAACGTTTTTTATGGCTGCATAATATTCCATGGTGTATATGTGCCACATTTTCCCTGTGCAGTCTATCATCGATGGGCATTTGGGTTGGTTCCAGGGCTTTGCTATTGTAAACAGTGCTGCAATGAACATATGTGTGCATGTGTCCTTATAATAGAATGATTTATAATCCTTCAGATATATACCCAGTAATGCGATTTCTGGGTCAAATGGAATTTCTATTTCTAGGTCCTTGAGGAATCGCCACACTGTCTTCCACAATGGTTTAACTAATTTACACTCCCACAAACGGTGTAAAAGTGTTCCTATTTCTCCACATCCTCTCCAGCATCTGCTGTCTCCAGATTTTTTCATGATCACCATTCTAACTGGCGTGAGATGGTATCTCAATGTTGTTTTGATTTGCATTTCTCTAATGACCAGTGATGATGAGCAATTTTTCATATGTTTGTTGGCCTGATATACGTCTTCCTTTGAAAAGTGTTCTGTTCATATCATTTGTCCACTTTTGAATGGGTTTGTTTGTTTGTTTCTTGTAAATCTGTTTTAGTTCTTTGTAGATTCTGGATATCAGCCCTTCATCAGATGGGTAGATTGCAAAAATTTTTTCCCATTCTATTGGTTGCCAGTTCACTCTAATGATTGTTTCTTTTGCTGTACAGAAGCTCTGGAGCTTAATTAGGTCCCATTTGTCTATTTTGGCTTTTGTTGCCAATGATTTTGGTGTTTTAGTCATGAAGTCCTTGCCTATGTCTATGTCCTGGTTGGTTTTGCCTAGGTTTTCTTTTAAGGTTTTTATGGTGTTAGGTCTAATGTTTAAGTCTTTAATCCATCTGGAGTTAATTTTAGTGTAAGGTGTCAGGAAGGGGTCCAGTTTCTGCTTTCTGCACATGGCTAGCCAGTTTTCCCAACATCAGTTATTAATGGGAAAGGGAATCATTTCCTCATTGCTTGTTTTTGTCAGGTTTGTCAAAGATCAGATGGTTGTAGATGTGTGGCATTGCCTCTGAGGCTTCTGTTCTGTTCCATTGGTCTACATCTCTGTTTTGGTACCAGGACCATGCTGCTTTGATAGTATTTAGCCTTGTAGTATAGTTTGAAGTCAGGTAGCGTGATGCCTCCAGCTTTCTTCTTGTTGCTAAGAATTGACTTGGCTATACAGGCTCTCTTGGTTCCATATAAAGTTTAAGGTGTTTTTTTCCAGTTCCGTGAAGAAGGTCATTGGTAGCTTGATGGGGGGATAGCATTGAATGTATAAATTACTTTGGGCAGTACGGCCATTTTCACGATATTAATTCTTCCTAACCATAAGCATGGAATGTTTCTCCATCTGTTTGTGTCCCCTCTTATTTCCTTGAGCAGTGGTTTGTAGTTCTCCTTGAAGAGGTCCTTTATATCCTTTGTTAGTTGTATTCCTAGGTATTTTTATAGCAATTGTGAATGGCAGTTCATTCTTGATTTGGCTCTGCTTAAGTCTGTTATTGGTGTATAGGAATGCTTGATTTTTGCACATTGATTTTGTATGCTGAGACTTTGCTGAAGTTGCTTATCAGTTTAAGATTTTGGGCTGAGACAATAGGGTCTTCTAAGTAGACAATCATGTCGTCTGCAAATAGAGACAATTTGACTTCCTCCTTTCCTATTTGAATACCCTTTATTTCTTTTACTTACCTGATTGCTTTGGCTAGAACCTCCAGTACTATATTGAATAGGAGTGGGGAGAGAGAGCATCCTTGTCTATTGCCAGATTTCAAAGAGAATGCTTCCAGTTTTTGCCCATTCAGTATGATATTGGCTATGTGTTTGTCATAAATAGCTTTTATTATCGACATTCCATCGATACCTAGTTTATTGAGAGTTTTTAGTATAAAGGGCTGTTGAATTTTGTTGAAGACCTTCTCTGCATCTATTGAGATAATCATGTGGTTTTTGTCTTTGGTTCTGTTTATGTGGTGAATTACGTTTATAGACTCACATATGTTGAACCAGCCTTGCATCCCTGGGATGAAGCCTACTTGATCATGATGGATAAGCTTTTTGATGTGCTGTTACAATCGGTTTGCCAGTATTTTATTTAAGATTTTTGCATCTGTGTTCATCATAGATATTGGCCTGAAGTTTTCTTTTCTTGTTGAGTCTTTGCCGCGTTTTGGTATCAGGATGATTTTGGTCTCATAAAATGGTTGCGAAGGATTCCCTCTTTTTGGATTGTTGGGAATAGTTCAGAAGGGGTGGTACCAGCTACTCTTCGTATTTCTGGTAGAATTCGGCTGTGAACCCATCTGGACTTAGGCTTTTTTTGATTGGTAAGCTATTGATTGCTGCTCAACTTCAGCCCTTGTTATTGGCCTATTCAGGGTTTCAACTTCTTCCTGGTTGAAAGGCTTGGGAAGGTACAAGTGTCCAGGAATTTATCCATTTCTTCCAGGTTTACTGGTTTATGTGCATAGAGTTGTTTGTTGTAATCTCTGATGGTGGTTTGTATTTCTGTGTAATCTGTGATGAAATCCCCTTTATCGTTTTTTATTGCATCTATTTGATTCTTCTCTTTTCTTTTTTATTAATCTGGCTAGTGGTCCATTTTGTTGATCTTTTCATAAAACGAGCTCCTGGATTTATTAATTTTTTGGATTTTTTTTGTGTTTCTATTGCCTTCATTTCTGCTCTGGTCTTAGATATTTCTTGTCTTCTGCTAGCTTTTGAGTTTTTTTGATCTTGCTCCTCTAGCTCTTTCCATTTTGAGGATAGGGTGTCAATTTTAGATCTTTCCTTGCTTCTCATATGGGCATTTATTGCTATAAATTTTCCTCTAGCCACTGCTTTAAGTGGGTCCCAGAGATTCTGGTATGTTGTGTCTTCATTCTCTTTGGTTTTGAAGAACATCTTTATTTCTGCCTTCATTTCATTGTTTATCCTGTCAACATTCAAGAGCCAGTTGTTCAGTTTCCATGAAGTTGTGCAGTTCTGAGTTAGTTTCTGAATTTTGAGTTCTAATTTGATTGCACTGTGGTCTAACAGACTGTTTGTTATGATTTCCATTCTTTCGTATTTGCTGAGGAGTGATTTACTTCCAATTATGTGGTCCATTTTAGAGTAAGTTTGATGTAGTGCTGAGAAGAATGTATTCTGTGGTTTTGGGTGGAAAGTTTTGTAGATGTCTATTAGGTTTGATTGGTTCAGATCTGAGTCAAATCCTGGATATCCTTGTTAATTTTCTGTCTCATATTGACAGTGGAGTGTTAAAGTCTCCCACTATTATTGTGTGGGAGTCTAGGTCTCTTTGTAGGTCATTAAGAACTTGCTTTATGTTCTGGGTGCTCCTGTATTGCGTGCATATATATTTAGGATAGTTAGCTCTTCTTGTTGCATTGATCCTTTTACTATTATGTAATGTGCTTCTTTGTCTCTTTTGATCTTTGTTGGTTTAAAGTCTATTTTGTCAGAGTCTAAGATTGCAACTCCTTTTTTTCCCCTCTCCATTTGCTTGGTAGATCTTCCTCCATCCCTTTATCTTGAGCCTATATGTATCCTTGCATGTGAGATGGGCTTCCTGGATACAGCACACTGATGATTTTTGACTTTTCATCCAATTTGCCAGTCTGTGTCTTTTGATTGAGGCATTTAGCCCATTTACATTTAAGGTTGATATTGTTATGTGTGAATTTGATCCTGCCATTTTGATGCTGGCTGATTGTTTTGCCTGCTAGTTGATGCAGTTTCTTCATTGTGTCAATGCTCTTTACCATTTGGTACATTTTTGGAGTGGCTGGTACTGGTTGTTCCTTTCTATGTTTAGTGCTTCTTTCAGAAGCTCTAGTAAAGCATGGCTGGTGGTGATGAAATCTCTGAGCAATTTCTTGTTCATAAAGGAGTTTATTTCTCCTTTGCTTATGAAGCTGTTTGGCTGGATATAAAATTCTAGGTTGAAAGTTCTTTTCTTTATGGGTATTGAATATTGGCCCCCACTCTCTTCTGGCTTGTAGGGTTTCTGCAGAGAGATCTGCTGTGAGCCTGATAGGCTTCCCTTCATGGGTAACCTGACCTTTCTCTCTGGCTGCCCTTAGCATTTTTTCTTTCATTTCAACCCTGGGAATCTGAGTATTATGTGCCTTGGGGTTGCTCTTCTTGAGGAATATCTTTGTGGTGCTCTCTGTATTTCTTGGACTTGAATGTTGGCCTGCCTTGCTAGGTTGGAGAACTTCTCCTGAATAATATGCTGAAGAGTGTTTTCCAGTTTGGATTCATTCTCTCTGTCACATTCTGATACACCTATCAAATGTAGATTAGGTCTTTTCACATAATCCCATATTTTTTGGAGGCTTTATTCATTTCTTTTTACTCTTTTTCTCTAATCTTGCCTTCTCCTTTTATTTCATTGAGTTGATCTTCAGTCTCTGATATCCTTTCTTCTGCTTGGTCATTTTGGCTATTGAAACTTGTGTATGCTTCGTGAAGTTCTTGCATTGTGTTTTTCAGCTCCGTCAATTCATTTATGTTCCTCTCTAAGCTGTTTGTTCTTGTTAGCATTTCATCAAACCTTTTTTAAGGTTCTTAGTTTCTTTGCATTGGGTTAGAAATGTTCTTTTAGCTCAGAGAAGTTTGTTATTACCCACCTTCTGAAGCCTGTTTCTGTCAATTCATCAGACTCATTCTCCATCCAGCCTTGTTCCCTTGCTGGTGAGGAATTGTGATCCCTTGGAGGAGGAGAGGCATTCTGGTTTTGGGTATTTTCATCCTTATTGCACTGGTTTCTTCCCATCTTTGTGGATTTACCTACCTGTGGTCTTTGTGGTTGGTAACTTTCAGATGAGGTCTCTGAGTGGATGTCCTTTTTGTTGCTGATGAAGTTATTTCTTTCTGTTTCTTAATTTTCCTTCTAACAGTCAGATCCTCTTGCTGTAGGAATGCTGGAGGTCCACTCCATGCCCTGCTGCCTGGGGATCACCTGCAGCAGCTGCAGAACAGTAAGGGTTGCTGCCAGTTTCTTCTTCTGCTCTTTGTCTCAGAAGGATACCTGCCAGATGTTAGCCTGAGTTCCCCTTTATGAGGTGTCTCTTTGGTTATATGGGGGTCAGGAAGCTGCTTGAGGAGACAGTCTCTCCCTTAGAGGTGCTCGAGTGCTGAGCTATGAGCTCTGTTGTTCTGTTCAGAGCTGCTGGGAAGGTACTTTTAAGTCTGCTGCAGTGGAACTCATAACTGCCTTTTTCCCCCAGGTGCTCAGTCCCAGGGAAGTGGGGCTCTATTTATAAGTTCCTGTCATTCTGCTGCCTTTTTTCAGAGATGCCCTGCCCAGAAGGGAGGTAGCCTAGTCACAGTCTGCCAGGAGAGGTGTTGCTGAGCTGCTGTTGGCTCTGCCCAGCTGTTGTGTGAGCTTCCTCGCAGTTTTGTTTATAGGGGTATAGTTATAACTGCCTTGGTAATGGCAGACTGTCTCTGTAATGGCAGACTGCCTTGGTAATGGCAGATTGCCTTGGTAATGGTGGATTACCTCTGTAATGCCAGGCTGCCTCAGTAATAGCGGACTGCCTCAGTAATGGCAGACTGCATCAGTAGTGATGAACTGCCTCCGTAATGGCAGTCCCCACAGAGCTGAACTGTCCTGGGTCCAGCTGTGCTTGCTGTGAAACTCTCAGTCCAGAGCATTTCAGATTGCTAGTTTTTGTGGGGGTGGGAACAGCTGAGCCAGAGCACCTGGCTCCCTGTTTTAGCCCCCTTTTCTTCATTTGAACAGGCGACTCTGTCTCTGAGGCATTCCAGTCGCCAGTTCAAACAGTGCCCGGATTTGTGTGAGTTTTTGTGCAGAGACCCACTGCACCAGCTGGGACAGCCACACTGGAGACTCGTGGGGCTTTTCTGCCCCGGAATCTCCTGGTCTGTGGGCAGTAAAAATTTGTTTAGAAATGCGGTGATCACTCACTCTCTGCGTTTTCACTGGAAACTGCAATCCAGAGCTGTTCCTGTTTGGCCATCTTGGATCCTCAACCAATAGTTAGTTTTCCAAGCTTTCCCTGCTCCCTCCTTCCCTCCCTCCCTGTTTTGGTAGTTCCCAGTTTTGATTGTTGTCACCTTTATGTCCACGAGTACCTGATATTTAGTTGTCACTTATAAGTGAGAACATGTGGTATTTGGTTTTCTGTTTCTGCATTAATTTGCTTAGGATAATGGCCTTCAGTTGGATCCATGTTGCTGCAAAGGACATGATTTTGTTCTTTTTCATGCCTGCATAGTATTCCATGGTGTGTATGTACCACATTTTCTTTATCCAATCCACTACTGATGAACAGCTAGGAAGTCCATATCTTTGCTATTGTGAATAGTGCTGCAGTGAACATACAAGTGCATGTGTCTTTTTGGTAGAAAAATTTGTTGTTGTTTTGGATATATACCCAGTAATGGTAGTTCTGTTTTAAGTTTTTTGATAAATCTCCAAACAACTTTCCACAGTGGCTGAACTAATTTACATTCTTACAAGAGTGTGTAAGCCTTCCCTTTTCTCCACAGCTTCACCAACATCTGTGGGGTTTTTCTGACTTTTTTAGTAATAGCCATTCTTACTGGTGTGAGATGGTATCTTATTGTGGATTTGACTTGCATGTCTCTGAAGATCAGTGATGTTGAGCATTTTTTCATATCTGCATATATATTTTGAAGGAAGTGCTAACAGAACTGGATTGGGGTAAGGATGACTCCAAAACAACTAGAAGGATTTCATTGCACTGAGATGCAGAAGACTCTAGGAGGAACTGGTTTGCAGGGGAAGATGAGTTCCATGTTGGACATGGTAAGTTTCACATGCCTATTGAACACACCCAAGTAGCATTGTTAAGCAGGAGTTGGATTTACCAGGCTGGAGTTTAGGGAAGAGATCTGAGCTGGAGCCACCAGCTTACAGGTGGTATTTAAGGCCACAGGACTGGATGTAATTAGGGGCAGTGAGGGGTAAAGACAGGGAAGAGTAAGGGTGCAGCTTCTGAGCTCTGAGCCTTTCTGTGTTAGAGAACAAAGGGATTAGGAAGAAAATGAAAGGGAGACTGAGAAGAAAGAACCAATGAGATGGGAAGAAAACCAGGAGAGTGTGATGTGCTTGAAATCAAGTAAAGGAAATATTTTCAGGGGAAAATGATCAATGGCCTCAAATACTGATGATGGGTCATGTAATGCCAGGACTGAGAACTGATCTTCAGGAGAAAACAGTTCATTTGAGTCACTGAAATCTGTAGATTCTTTCTCCCCATTATTTCTTAAGTCAAGCCATGTTGTTTACCACCTTGTTTCAAGCCACTGTCTTTTCTTGCCCTGCAACTGGAGCTGCAGTTCTTAACCAGTTCTTCTCGTGCTGCCCTCTGTCTAGATCTGTGCGTTTCCTTAAAGGAGCCACAGATCACACATGGTTGTTGAGCAACTGAAAATGTGGCCCATCTGAATTAAGATGTGCTATAAGTACACACTGGATTATGAAAACTTAGCATGAAAAGACAAAAAATAAAAAGTAGACATGTCTTATGAATGATATTTTATATTAATTGATGTTGAAATGAAAACAGTGGGAATTGGGAGCTAAGTAAAATATATTTTTAAGATTCCTCACACATGAGCTTTTTTTCTTTTTATAGTTTTTAATGTGGCTCCTAGAAAATTTGAAGTGACATTATTGACTTGCGTCTGTGGCTTGTGCTATATTTCTATTGGATAGTGTTGGGACACACTGTTTATGACCTTGCTCCCACAGGGATCTTTTAAAGGGACAAAATGACCATGTCACACTTCCCACTGCTAAGAGAAAACACCTCAACTTGAACACAAGGCTCTGTGAGAACAGGGCTCTGTTTGTCCAGCCTCCCCTCAGGTCACTTTCTCCTCCGTTGCCTGTCCTCAGGGCACATTGGCCACATCCCTTTTCACCCGGGTCTGCTAATGTGCACTCCCCTCTGGCTGCAGAACTCTTCTCTAGCTTCTTTGCCTTACCAATGTCTGCATATCTGTTGGGTCTCAGCTTAACCATCACTTCCTCAGGGCATCCTTCCTTGGTCCTCAAACTAGGTTAGGTGCTCCACTCCTAAGTCTTGAACTTTTCATTTATAGTACTTGATTCCCATCATTATTTGCCTAATTAATTTTGCTCTTTCTCCACTAGACTGTTTGCTCCTTGAGGGCAGAGTTGGTGCTGTCTTAACTCTAGAATATCCTCTGCACTGGACGCTGCAGACAGAAAACTGAGTCTATGTTTTTTACATTATTGTGCTGTTCCTTCCTGAGATTACTTCTATTCTTTTTTTTTTTCTAAGTTGTTACATCAAACCTTCGGATGTGGTGTTTTAGAAAGTGTTCTAATTTTTAAGTTGAAGAGAGTTGCTTTCTGGTTTGTTTTGGGCTTGGGGTATTTTTTGCAATTTATTTTTCTTACTCTTTTAAAAACTAAGATTAAATTTGCATAGAGAAAAATGCACATGATTTGGTTTGGCTGTGTCCCCAACCAAATATCATCTTGAATTGTAGCTTCCATAATTCCCACATACTGTGGGAGGGAGCCAGTAGGAGATAATCAAATCATGAGTGGTTTCCCCCATACTGTTCTCATGGTATTCTCACAAGATCTGATGGTTTTATAAGGGGAAACCCCTTTTGCTTGGTTCTCATTCTCTCATCTGCCGCCATGTAAGACGTGCCTTTCACCTTCTGCCATGATCATGAGGCCTCCCTGGTCACATGAAACTTTGAGTCCATTATACCTCTTTTTCTTTATAAATTACCCAGTCTTGGGTATGTCTTAATCAGCAGCATGAAAACAGACCAATACAGCAAAAATATTAAATATATCATTCAGTTACTTTGGCAAATTAATATAGCCATGTAATCAACATTCTAATCAAGACAGTGAAGACTTCCATCACTCCCAAGAAAGTGCCCCTTTACATTCAATTCCTGCCCTCAAACACAGCCACTTCCTGATTTCTACCATCATAGATTACTTTTGCCTCTTCATAAGCTTCAAATGAAATAGAATCAGACAGCTATGCTTTGTTCTGTCTGGCTTCTTTGACTCAGCATTGTGTCATATGGTTCCATCATTTGTTCCTTTATATTGCTGAGTAATTGAATAGAAATAATTCATGTATCTATTAACCTCTTTTTAAAAAATAATTTCAACTTTTAGTTTAGATTCAGGGGGTATATGCGTAGGCTTGTTACATGGGTAAATTGTGTGATGCTGAGGTTTGGAGTGTGGATAATGCCATCACCCAGGTAGTGAGCACAGTCCTTAGTAGGTACTTTTTCAGCCCATGCCCCTCTCTCTCCCCTCTCCTTCTGGTATTCTTCAGTATCTATTATCCCATCTTTATGCCCATGTGTACACAATGCTTAGCTCCCACTTATGAGTGCCAACATGTGACATTTGGTTTTCTGTTCCTGCATTAATTCACTTAGGATAATGACCTCCTCCTTTTCTTATCATGCCCTTATTTCCCTTCCCTCTCTTTTATGATGGATTTTGTGTAATATTGGCAATATTTACAGACTTCATCAGAGAAATAATCTGGGCATGGAATTTTCTTATTGAAAAGGTTTGTAATTGCATATTTAATTTCTTTACTATAGGAAATACTCAGATTTTCTCATTTTTGTCAGTTTTGGAAAATTATCTTATACAAGGTATTTGTCCATTTAACTGAAGTTGTCAAATTTAGGGATATAAGGTTATTCATAAATTTTCTTTATTATCCTTTTAATGTCTTTATGGTCTTTGGTGATGTTCCCTCTTATTCCCGTTACCAGCAATTTATGTTTCTGTCTCTCTTCCTCATGAACATGGATTCAAAAATGCATTCAGAAAAACATTAGAAAATGGCATCTAGCAATATATGTAAAAGATAGATTATAACCAAGTGGGATTTATCCCAGGAATGTAAAATTGGCTCAATATTTGAAAATCAATGTAATTCACCACATTACTAAAACAAATGAGAAAATCGTATGATTCTTCCAATAGATGTTTAAAAATCACTTGAAAATTTTTAACGCCTATTCATTGTAAAAACTCTGAAAATTAAAAGAATAAGGGAACTTCCTCAAATTGATAAAACTAATATAAGTAATAGAGAAATATTGCACGTGTTCCCACTATACTTGAAAACAGAAAAAATATCTATTTTTATCATAAAATCTAACACTTTGGTAAAGTCCAACCAAATTTAGTAAAGCAATACAAAGAAATACATAGCATAGAAATTGGAAAGGAAGAAGTAAAATTTATTCCAGGACAACACAATTGTGTTTACAAATAATCCTAGGGCATCCACAAAAATGTTACTAGAACTAATATGTGAATTTAGCAAAGTCACAGAATACAAGATCACTAATTCAAAAATCAATTCTTTTCTTATATTCTGACCAAAAAAAAAAAAGAAAAGAAAAAGAAAAAGAAACATTTAAATACCCTTTATTTTACCTTTAAAATAGCATCAAAGACATAAAACATTTGGGAAAGATTTAATGAAAGCCTACAGTTTGAAAACTGCCAAACATTATTGAAATTAATATTTGCCCTTCTTTGCCCTTTTCTGTCTTCTTTTGCACTTAAAATTGGATTTTTACAAGTAATTCATTTTATTTCTTCTGTTAGTGTTTCAGCTATAGCATCTGTATTGTTTCAATAGTTACTTGGTGGTTTTCAATATGCACCAGTAACTTTCACGAACTACTAAGAATTAATATTATTTCATTTCACTTATAATTTAAGAAGTTTTTAACAGATATTCAATTTATTCTTGCTGTTCTTTGTGCTATTGTCATATACATTATTTATACACATGAATGCCACAAAAAGTTATTTTTTCTTTAAATAATCAATTGTCTTTCGAAGAAATTAGCAAAATTAAGACATTTTTTACATTTACTAGCATCTTTGCCATTTCTAGGAATCTCCATTCTTTTTTGTAGACCTGAATTTTCATCTGATATCATTTCATTTCTTTTCAGTCTGAATAATTCCTTGTAACTTTTTTTTAAAAAGAGACAGAGTCTTGCTCTGTTGCCCAGGCTCCAATGCCATAGCACAATCCTAGCTTGCTGCAGCCTCAGCCTCCTGGGTTCAGTGATCCTCCTGCCTCAGTCTCCTGAGTAGCTAGGACTACAGGTGCATGCCACCATGCCTGGATAATTTTTTTTTTTTTTTTTTTTTTTTAGAGATGGGATATATTGTCCAGGCTGGCCTTGAACTTCTTGCCTCAAGAGATCCTCCTGCCTCGGCCTTCCTTTTAGCATTTCTTGCAGCACAGTTCTGTTGGCACTTAATTCTTGAAGACTTTCCTTTTCTGAAAACTTTCTGAGACTTTCTATCTGTTGTCTTTCTGGCCTCCATTGTTTCTGGTAATATGACAAGTGCCTTTCTTATCATTGTTCCTTTGTATACAATAATGGGTTTTTTTCTGGCTGCTTTTGAGGTAGGTTTTCTTTTATCTTTGGTTTCAAGAGTTTTATTATAATGTGCTCAGATGTGTTTGTGTTTTGTCATAATTAATATGAACTTAAAGAAGAAAGAAAATCACATCTATAGTACATCTACCTTCTGACAAATACCATAGAATGCACTGATATAGAAATGATCTCTTCTAATCCTCTCTGTGGATTAATAGCACCTCATTGATGAGGAACCAAGGCTCATCGGTGATGCATCCGGCCATGACAGAGTGACTGATAATGGACCTGTCATCTGGCCATAAACAACAATACAATCAGACAAGATATCAAACCAACTGTTTCAGGCATTGGACAAAAGACAACACAAATCTATGCTCTTCACACCTACTATATACTCCCAAGAATTAAAAAAATAAAATAAAACAAATAAACAAAAAACCAAATCTGAGCTCTTAGTGAGAAAGACAGACCCTAAGTGAGCTCTGCATTCTACTCCTACCCTGTCCCTACCTTCTGCCCTAACTTTCTTGGACCTTGGTGCCAATAGATGGAGGTTAAATGGAAAGCTACAATTTCACTGGGTAGGGGGAGTAGAGATCAGAGTTGGGGGCTTCTGGTACTGGTGGAGCACTGGGATATGGATGGTAGATTCTCCTTGGGCCCTGGTCCACTGAATGCCGGAGGAGCAGGGGGAGATTTCACAGGGCCTGAGAGGTAGGCGGTTGGGGGCTGAGAACTGAGTATGGATATCAAAGATTGCCCAGTGCTAGGACACACAGGAGTTTTGGTTCAGCCAGAGAAAAGAAAACTTGCTGAGCCTCCAAATCGTTTCTTTGAGATCTGAGAAATGCTACATCTTAAGAGAAAGGATCACATTCAGGGGCAAAAGTTCTGCACTAAAATAAAGTACAAAGCTGAACTAGACATGCCCACTTCCCAAATTTGGTTGCTCCCCTAGACTCTTTCTCTTCCCCTCCCTCTGCATCTAATGACACTGATGACAGTCAACACATCCAGCATGCTTACTATGTGCCAAGTAGGGTATTCTGAGAATTTTTTAACCTATGTTGATGCAACATACATCCCAACAACCCTGTGAGGCAAGTAATATTTTTGTCTCTGTTTCACAGGTATGGAAACTGAGGTACTGAGAGAGTAAATAACTTGCCCAATACTATACAGCTAGGCAGTAGTAGAGCTGGAACTCAACTCATGTGAGCTGACTCCAAAGTCCACACTTTTAACTACAACTCTCACTACTTCAGTGTTCTCTGGGTTGTTACGTATAGGCTAAAAAAATCTATAATGTCTGCTTCCTTTCTCCTCACACACTGTCACCAGAACCTCAGTTCAGATGTTCCTCATCCCTGGCTGTATTAGTTCATTCTCACATTGCTACAAAGAAGCATCTGAGACTGGGTAATTTACAAAGAAAAGCAGTTTAATTGGATCACAGTTCCACAGGCTATACAGGAAGCATGACTGAGGAGGCCTCAGGAAACTTACAATCATGGTGGAAGGCAAAGGGGAAGCCGGCACCTCCTACATGGCTGGAGCAGGAGGAAAAGAGAGAGAAAGGGGAGCTGCTACACATTTTTAAACAAGCAGCACTAGGAGGATGGTACTAAAGCAATAGAAACCACACGCATGACAATCACCTCCCACCAAGCCTCTCCTCCAACACTGGGAATTACAATTTGACATGAGATTTAGGTAGGGACACATAGCTAAATCATATCACTTGCCTAAACTTTTTTTTTTTGAGACGGAGTTTCGCTCTCATTACCCAGGCTGGAGTGCAATGGTGCGATCTCGGCTCACCGCAACCTCCGCCTCCTGGGTTCAGGCAATTCTCCTGCCTCAGCCTCCTGAGTAGCTGGGATTACAGGCACGTGCCACCATGCCCAGCTAATTTTTTGTATTTTTAGTAGAGATGGGGTTTCACCTCATTGACTAGGATGATCTCGATCTCTTGACCTCATGATCCATCCGCCTCGGCCTCCCAAAGTGCTGGGATTACAGCCTAAACTTTTATAATGATTTTCCTATAGAGGTTTCTCTGCCTCCATATTTTCTCAAAGGTATATTTCTAAATTGTACAATCCAACATATCAACTTTTTTCTGTTCAAAATCCTAAATGTTCACTATGATCCACTCCCCCTCACCTTCCTATTCAAAATTTCCCCAAGCACTTTCTCCCCTCTTTCTTTTTCTCTATTTCCCTCTTCACCACACCAGTAACACATACCACTTGTGGTTTAACAAACCATGCCATTCATGCCTCTGAGCGTCTGCCCATGTTATTCCCTCTGCCTCAAATATATCCCCTCCTTGTCAGCCTGGCAACCTTGCCTCCTCTCTGAAGCTGTCTGACTCCTTCCAGGCATAGGGGCCTTTCTTCCTCTATGAGTCATAAACAGGCATCCACTAGTCCCCAACACAGAGCATGGCAAAGCTCTCTGTCTCTGGACATCTCACCCCTGGGGGTCTTAGTTGCTGCCCAGCACCCAGCACAGGCTGGGCACACAGTAGGCACATAACAAATGCTCCTTGAAATTGCAAATAAAATTCTAGCCCCCCCACAACCAAAAATAAAATTCCAGGGCCCCCCAACCATCTGAAGTGACACTTCCTCTTGGCCAAGCACATTCCAAAGTTAACCTGAAAAGCTAGTTCAGGCCATGATGGGAAGAAGGAGGTTGAATATGCCTCATTTTATGCTCCTCCCTTTTGGAATTCAGGAAAAGCTGACCAGCATTAACATCCACAAGAACCTTAAGTCTGTTAAGAAACATTTACAGTCTATTCTTTCTAAAGCCTGATACCTGGAGGCTTCATCTCTTTGATAAAAACTTAGTCTCCACAAACTCTTATCATAACCCAGACAATTCCTTTCTATTAATAACTCTTTCAACCAATTGCCAATCAGAACATTTTTAAATCTACCTATGACTTGGAAGCCCCCCCGCCCCAGCTTTGAGTTGCCCCACCCTTCCACAGCAAACCTATGTACATCCCACGTGTACTGATTGAGGTATTATGTCTCCATAAAAGGTATAAAAGCAAGCTGTACCTTGACAACCTTGGGCACATGTCAGGACCTCCTGAGGCTGTGTCATGGTCATGTCCTTAGCCTTGGCAAAATAAACTTTCTAAGTTGATTTAAGTCCTGCCTCAGACACTTTGGGGTTTACAAAATATTGTACACATCAAATTCCTAATGACAGCTGAATGGTATCATATTTTCTTCTCAGGAAGGCAGAGGAGGGGTGGTACAGGGGGTCCTGAGAAGCCTGCAGGCCTCAGGAAAGGAGAGGAGAAAGGTGGGAAATATCTTTCTCAGGGCGGCTCTGCTCTGTTAACAAAAGGTCAATGTACTCACAAGAATGAGAGATGCCTCTTTTCCTTGTTTCTAGACAAAGCTGAGATGTGACCTCAGCAGTTCATTGTTCTCTTGTCTGCATCCTTGGCCTAAATGTTTTTCCTCGGAATTGTCTTTCTTTCAGAAGGGAGAGTTCACAAGAGCTGATCACAAAGAGCTTGGTAATAGTTCCTTTGGGGGAGGCTCCTCAGTCCTGCAGCTGGGAGACTGGGAGTGGGAGAAGGCCTTTTAGACTCCGAGCACCTGTAGTCCTTCTTCTGCCCACATGCCATGAGTCGGGAGGGAGCATTGTCACCGTAGATGCAGCCGAGCTGGCCAACCCACCTTCTCACTCCACCTTGCCAGAAAATGGGGTCAGTAGGATAGCTTTTGTTTTTGTTCTTTAGATACTTTGTTTTTCCTCTTTAAAGCATTTTTTTCTAAGATTCTGAGAAGATGACTGTTTGACCAACATGCAGCTGTGGGGAGATGGGAGAACTCATCAGCCAACCAACCCTGGTGACTATGTGGGGGCAGGGACCTTAGTCAGGATTCCCTTGCAGGCCAATTGCACTAAAGTTGGGCTGTACTGGGGTGGGTAGCAAGGGCCAGTGCCCCACGCAGAGGAAAGCAGTCCTGTCATCTGGGCCCACAAAGGCACTCTGGATCCCTCTGACTGCTCTGCAGGGAGGAAGCTTTTTACCCCCAGCTCGGGTCAGGTATAGCATTACACTGCCTCTCACCCCAGTATTTTTCTTTCACAGCACTCCCAGAATTTGTGAGATATAGTTGAAGGATTCTTTTGTGTAATAATTATGTTTTCTAGTATTTGATGCTTTGACATTTATGCTTTGCAGTTCCTGGAGGGATTGCCCCTCCCAGAGCTAGCCAATTGCTAATGATTAAGTAAACAACTCACCTGGGAGCAGGTCGTTCCTATGCACAGCAACCAGTCCAGAGCCCATAAGCCCCAACCACCTCCTTCCCCAGGTTCTCACACTCCCGGGCCAGTATTTCCTTGCCGTCAAAGCCTCAGGGCCAGAGCCCCTGAAAATATTCCAACTAGCCAATGCTAAGCCTTCCCACCCTGCCTCACCTGTTCCTTCCCCAGATAAACCACAATAAAGGCTCTTGCCCATGTTTTCCCCTCCCTCCCTCTGCCTCCTGACCCACCTGCTGCTTTTCCCCATGGCCCTGAAGAGCATGCCCTGCCTCCTATTTCTAGGGATCGGTGAGTACAGAAACTCCTTCCTCATGCAGTCATTGCCATGTCTGCATGTCTTGCTGTGCCTGATTAAAAGAAAGCCTGGATACCCTTACAACATCTTCTTAATAATTCTCTCATCCACTGAATGGTGACCTCCATGATGAAACAATGTATCTGTTTAATCCAGTTCCTGGTTGGCTTGTAGCATTTGTTGAATCAATGATTGAATGAATAACCAAATGTTTTTAAGTTCCTTTAGTGATTCGAGGAAGAGGAAGAGTTTTATAAAATGTTTTTCATCTTAATGTATTGTCCATCTTTCAGCAGACTGACACTCCAGTCCTTACTGATTGAGACGAGGCCCCTTCTGAGCTGCTGTCCAGGAGAGGAGGTGGTTGGCCACATACTCAGCCCAAGCCAGTTTCCCTCAGGACTATGCGGGACAATATGGCAGGGTACCGCGTAGAGCTTTACTGCAAAAATAAACAAGGAAAGAGAATCACTGCTTCTGTGGGGTCTGCAAGACTTTGAGGAGCAGATAGTACATAAGCTGGTCTTGAAGACACAAAAGGACTTTAGCAGATTATGGAGCACCTTCCGTGTACCAAGCTGATGTTTTATTTGTGGGACCTCCCTTGGGCTGACTGCATCCTTGAGATATATTTAATTTCTTCTTTACAGATGAGAAAGTTGAAGCTAACTAAGGTTAAGTAACTTACCTAAGGTTACACCATTAGGTAGCAGAAGCAAAATTTGGATCCAGGAAGACTTTAGACCGAAGCCCATGATCTTTCCATTATACCAGGCACGGCGTGTATTCGATGATAATACCATGCCCACAATAACACGTGCCTGGCATGCACTGAAGTCACACACATCATCAAATCTAATCATCTTCAAAAAATGAGGGTGATATTCTGACTATCTATATTATACAAATTCCAAAAAGAGGCACAGAACGGTTTAAGAACATGTTCAAGTTCATATAACTAGTAAGGAGCAGAGCTAAGAATTGAATCCAGGCTGGTGTCTGAATCCATGTGCTTAACACAATCATTTAGTTTGTTCATATATGCACATGCATAGGGGTTTGGGACTGGCATGGAGAGCAGGGGGCAGGGAGAGTGGAGGCTGGATACTTGTGGTTTTATCAATTTTGGCAAAAACTCTTTTAGGACAAGTACTGATTGGCAAAATTCTGTGTGAGCAGTAACAATAGTAATAATCAGCAGTGATAAATATAGCTGAATATTTGTTTTCTTTATGGCAAACCAGTTAGGGTAAGGATAGTGTGTCTTCCTAACTCTGCACTCCCAAAGAGTCACAATGTCCCTGGTATTTCTGGGATGGAAGGAACTATGAACTGAGACCTGAGAAGATCGGTGACTAACAATCCCTGGCAATGCCATGGATCCCTGAGCTCCTCTGCCTCATAGTTATGTCTGCTACCAAACTCTAGGGCCAACAGCCAGCCATCAGCCTGGCAGTGAGAGAGGGGCTTGGGGCCTATGGCTGTGGGAACCTGTAGCTGGGGGCAGTGCCCTGGCTCAGCAGCCCTGGCCTCTGAGGCAGTGAATGTGCAGAATGGCCCCCTTCCAGCCACAGCACCTGGTGAGTCATCAGTGTTCCACCACAGCATATTAAAGGTGAACCTCTGTGGGAAAGACAGAACTTACATAGCCTTGAGTGCTCTCAGAAACAGGCCCTGGGCCTCCCAAGCTTTCCTACTTCTGCTGTCATTACCGGTAGTACCCACAGGAGCCTGGAGTGGTTGCTAGGCAACAAGCCATCTCGGCATCCTCCTCCAATTTGTAGACATCTTTACTCAGATTCCCTGTCTCTAGGTTCATCCTTCCTGCAGGAGAATTGGCCAGACCAGGGTCAGAGATTCTGCAGGACTTCTGCAGGGCTCCTGCAGGATGCTTGGGTCCCTCTTTCAAGAAGAGCCTCCCTGAGAACCAATCACTATCCCATAGGTGCCTTCAGCATTCAATATTTCCAGTGTTCCATGGACACAGGGAGGGGAACATCACACACCGGGCCTGCCTGGGGGTGGGGGAGCTAGGGAAGGGATAGCAGGGGGTGGGGGATGGGAGGGATAATATTAGGAGAAATACCTAATGTAGATGACTGGGGGATAGATGCAGCAAACCACCATGGCATGTGTATACCTATGTAACAAACCTGCACGATCTGCACATGTACCCCAGAACTTGAAGTATAATAATAAAAAAATATTTCCAGTGTTCTCATTTTCTAACATTGAAAATATGCATCTTCTAGAGGCAATTCATTATGGAGAGGTCTATTAGCTCATGCATGAGTTATCTCGATGTATTCCTCTTCTCTCTCCTATGGTTACTTTTATGGCCATTTTCTGCTAGGAACCAGAGGTCTGGGAGTAACAGAAGGGTAACCTATGTTTTATGACTTTACTGCCACTGGTATTGGAGGCCATGTGTTATTAATTGAGTTAAAAGAAAAAAAGCTTTTTCTGGTCTGTGGTCTAAGGTGAACAGGTTGCAAAATTAAGAAGTAAAATATTGGCGAGGTACTGTGGCTCACACCTGTAATCCTAGTACTTTGGGAGGCCGAAGTAGGCAGATCACTTGAGGCCAGAAGTTCAAGACCAGCCTGGCCAACATGGCAGAAAATACAAAAATTAGCCTGGCATGGCAGTGTAAGCCTATAGTCCCAGCTACTTGGGAGGCTGAGGCACAAGAATTGCTTGAACTGACATCACTTGAACCCAGGAGGCAGAGGTGCAGAGAGCTGAGATCAAGTCCACTGCACTCCAGCCTGGATGACAGAGCAAGACTCTGTCTCAAAAAAAAAAAAGAAGAAAATATTAACTAAATTACCACCCTCCCCACCCCATGTAACCTTCCCCTTACCACCCATGTCTTTTTCCTACTTATGAAAGGCAAATGTGTGGCCACTCTATCAGGAGGACCTGCAAAGATTACACAGGCTGCCTTCATTTCTTCTCAGTCTGCCATACTCAGTGTCTTCTTGTCCCTCTGGCTTTAAGTCTTATTTGCATTGCTCTGGTGAAACTCGCAAGCAACACAAGACTGAAGAAGGTGGCAACTGGCAAGAAAGTACTGTTCAGACCTTTTAACACCAACGGGGATGTTTCTATCAAATATCCCAGAACTCACTCATGGGTCTTGTTGGCCTGGATTCCACCCAACACACGCCCCACAACCCTATCCCAAAGAATAACATTCTTTGGTGTGCGTCCGTCTTCTCTTCCTCCCTGTCCATTTAGGCAGCTCTCTCTCGTTGTAATTTATTTGCCTTTATCTATGGAAGAGCCTGCCCTCCTGAAGGAGGGTGGTCTTAGGAGTAAAAATTGAGGGGAAGAGAACCAATATTTATGGAGACCCATAACTGGCCAGGCAATGTGCTAGGTGCCTTCTCTAATTTTTGCATTAAATCCTTAAAATAATCCTATAATGCATAAATCATATTTTAGAAATAAGGAAGCAAAAACTCAGAGAGATTAAGATATTTCGTTTTATACCATTTCACAGCTGGCAAAATCCCCAGCCCACTTGCCCTGTTTCATAGCCAGTTCTTTTCACTAGGGGTAGAGTCTCCAGAGAAACAGGGGCTTGCTAATCCTCAAACCTATCCATGACAATCACCCATGGCGCAAGCATGGAGAGAAAGGAAAATGGAGGGGTAGCAGCCAGGTTTCAAGCCCAGGTGCCAATATTTGCAATTAGCTGGCAAACAAAACAGAACTGACCAGAAAGCCTAGAAGAAGAGCAGAGATTTAAGAGAAATGCCAGCAGCAGGTGACAGGTTTCCACTCTCTTCCAGCCCTTAGATGTCCTTGGGAGGGTTTGAAACTGCAGCCTTGAGGACCCTGGCTGTGTTTCCTGAACTGGTAGAGCTGGAAGCAAAGTGGAAGTTACAGTATTCCCAAGAACATGACCATTTCCTTTTCAAGGAGAGCTTTAGTCTGAAAAGGAAGAATTCACCTGCTACATTCTATGATCCAGCATAAGTGATGCACTTGCACTGCCATCCCCTTGTTGCTATAGGAACGATTTCCTACCCATTTTTCAAAACACAGGGGCCAGGGTAAATGCTGCCATTATTCATGCATGTACTTCCACTGGTTCAACTGGAAAAAGACTGCCAGATGGTCACCTACCAAAGACAGAACCTGAAGACCTCTTTCTAATGTGAAAACTATTTGGCAATCCCATCTCTAATCACAGGGGTGTTTGCAGACTCTGTCCCGTGGTGTGCTCAAACTTTTCTCTCAGCTTGTTTCCTAGGAAAACGATGATTGGTGAAAGAGGTGCTGTGAGATTCAGTTGAAGAAATACATCCTGGTGGATATGATTCATCCAGGAGCCAGGGGTTCAGTGCAAGCACAAAGGAGCTGAGGATGAGTGGTGTGTGCACATACTCATTCAGGCCACACACACACAAACACACAGCTCCTACCTTAATTGTTATTGTGCTCCATTGTGTTCCCTTCCTGGAGGTCACATATTTGGTCAACAAAAATTTCTTAGGTAAGCCACTGAGCCTTAGGACTCAGAGGATGTTTGCTGCCTCCCCGCATTGAGACCCACAGTCTGCACACAATGTCTATTTTGCGTGGGAGTGCAGGACATTTCCATTTTTTAAAGGTAGAATTCTCCATGTGGAGGCAGCCTCGGCCTAAGTGGAAAGAGGACTGGATGTAAACTCAAAAGACTTGCCATTCAAGGTCTGGGACCTTGACCAAGTCATCTGGTTCAACTGGATGATCTTTTTCTCATTCCATGAAAACGAATGGTCAAGCCTCCTTCACAGCCCGAGTGGTTCAGATTTATGCTTTCAATAACTGTTTTATGCCTTCAATAGTTGTCCAGGGCTAGGGATATTTCAAATGAAGGTGAGACAAGGTCCTGCTCTAATTCTAACATAAGGAAGTGAGAAAAATCATACAAAGGGGTAAATAATATGAAAATAAATAACAGGAGAGTGTGAAAGAGAGGATCTGACAACTGCTTTAGTCTGGGGGGTCCGAGAAGGCATTGCTGATGAAATGGCACCCAAGCTGAGATCTGAATGACAGAACAAACCAGTCATGCATGGGGGAAGAGCAATCAGCAGAAGGAATATGCAGTGCAAAGACCCTGTTATGGGAATAAGCTTGGGCTGTTTGAGAAAGCAAAAGAAGGGTGACATGACTGGAGTGCAGTGGATGAGGGGGAGGGGGAGGCAGAGGCCAGCCTGCAGCACTTTGTAAACCCAAGTAGTAAATTGAGATTTTACTCTCATATGTAGGAAGTCATGATAATGGTTTGAGAAAGGACAGGGCTGCATGGTTTGTTTTTAAGAGACTTCTGTGCTTGCTGTAAGGAAAGTAGATTTAGAAATAAGAAAACAAGTTAGGAGGCTATTGCATTAGTGCTAGCAGAAGACGGCGGGTACGTTGGTCTAAGGTGATAGGAGAGAGTTGGAGAGAAATTGACACCTGGGCTCTGTGTTGTA